TTACTTTAAATTACGATTAGAAAAGTTTTTGCTGGTTATCAGAGTCTGTTTTATTTAAGATTTGTGAAAAGTGAATATTTTGCGTATTTCTTATACTTATCGACGTAAATCAGACAAAAGCAAACTTTAAGAACTAAAAATGAAAATTCAAGTGATTTTTAATGTTTGGAATGAGAATCTAAGCATGAGAATAGAACCCCAAAGAAAAAAATTTTTCTTGACCGGTGATATCAATGGTACTAGCTACTTAAGATGTGCACTTCGAATTGAATGGGTTTACAAAGCTGCATACTCAGAATGTTTCTAAGAAATCTAGATAAAACGCTCAAAATTTTGATGAACCTTTGTCGAATTTTGCTAATTTTTTTACAAAGTTTCCATTTCTGACATACATGGTCTTTGTTAGATAACGAGTCACACTTTTATAAAAAGGAATAAACAATAAATAATCAAAAGGGGAATAGCCAAAGAAAGTTGAAATTTCTCTTCCCTATTTATATTTTCGCCACTCTATCTACAGCTTTCGTTTTTCATACCACGATTTTTTTTAATGGTATTAGCATTATTTTTTTTGGACACTGAAACACTGAAACTCGGGACTTAATCGGTACAAATATGAAAAATCGGTATACTTATACGTCCCGAATAAAAAAAAAATCAAGCGCGACAATTTTCCTAAAATCGGTACTGTCCTGCCACAATCGGTACGAATGGTCACCGTACGTATAATATAATACCTTTTGTTCAGTTATTTTTGCAGTCTTTTATTGCATAAAATGTTTTTTTAACTTATTTCTTATAACGAAAAAATTAAGAAGGCGGCACAAAATGTGTTTTGACACTAATAATTTGACATAACAGTTATACATTCATACGTACATTGGTATGTTCTTGAAGAAAAACGATATACAATGCGATATTATTACCTAATAAATGTGGAATTTGTATTAGAAATAATTATAAAAGAAATACATATAAATTACCTTCATAAATATTACTATTAATACAAATGAATTCAATTAATAAAAACTTGTACTTTTATTTATCTAAGGAATTATAACAGAAAAGTAAGTACAGTGTAAAATCAGTTTAACGACGTCTTTCTAATGTAGCCAATAAATGTTGATGAATTTTTTATTTTTTTTCAATGAAGATGCAGTCAAAACTTTTTTATTGTTTAAATCTTTCCGGACAATAAGTCCCTAAATAAAAAGTTCGGTTTGATCTTTACATAAAATTGGGACCTCAAAGGGTTAAAGAAGGAAGGCGCGTACGAATGACTCATATTTCCACTCGGAGGCAGATTTGCTCATAGTGAATGCCCTGTGTGAGTGCCAGGAGGAGTCACATCCTTCCAACCCAGGTTAAACCATACTGTCAGTATGAAGCAGAGGTGGGCAGCCTCGGCAGAGCATTTTTGTAGTGTGCGTGCAATTGATGTCATGATGTATGCGTGCGAACAAGTTGAATGACGCTTCCGCTGCCTTCTCAAGCAGAACGTGTATGTATACGCGAAAGTCTGTCAAACCATTCACTATCCCGGATGCAGCCGTGGATATTAGATATTTTCATCTCCGCTATCTCCCTGAAGATATTTAAAAAGCGTGATCCCAAATGCTTGAGATGCTTTGTCTGAAGAACTAAGCATTGACATAAGAAGTGATGAATCGATTCCTCTTCATTCTCAACCCGACAACTTCTGCAGAGGGAGCTTGTTAGTATACGCTATCGATGGAGCATTGGTGCTAAAGCTCAGTGCCCTCTGATGACACCGGTAACAGCCCTTATTGTAGATTTTTTAGTGTCAATAGTTCCTCAGTACGACTCTTATTGAGTTTCGTCCACAAGGATCTTGAGACCTCACAGTCGTCCCGATTGATCGTAAGGTAACTGGTTACGGCTAGGGTGTATTCTTCAATCCCCCTTAGCAGTATAGAAATCCGGGGCGGTAGGGAGTTATCCGCTTCGCTAATTTATATTTCCGAGCTGTATCTAGCTATCTCATCAGTTATTTCGTTCCCTTCTATATTGCTATGTCCAGGAGCCCAGCAGACACAGTTTTTGACGTGAATCAGCGAAGCCAGCGATGCACGACATTTCCGAACTGCCATCTGGGCGTAAGCGAATATTGTGACGTTCCCTGGGAGAGAGATCAGACAAGCCGCCTTCTCTATGGCAAATATTTCCGCTAAAAGACACTGGAGCTATCAGGCAGGCGATATGATCATTTGAAGGTCCTTGGAGTACAGACCCGAGCCGACTTCCTTTTCCATTTTTGAGCCATCGGAGTAGATGGAAATACCACCATTTACCGACAGGAGACCACCTTACGAGTCTTCAAAGATAAGAGAATGTATGATAATCTAAAAACTGAATCCCAGGATGACGTGAGGTAATTAGTTTCGACATCTAAGTCGACCTTGGGTCCGTTAACCCGTTCACTATTAATTTCCTTCAAGACCGCTGCGTATCCGTAGTCGGTCTACTTCCACAATTTTGGTTCCGTCAGTCTAAGGGCCCCTTTTGTAAAAGATCATGTTCAGCCCTTCTTGGGGTGCGCTTGTCACAGCTCCTGGCATACCGAGGCTTGCGAGTCTCTGCACTTTTCTAATTATTCTCTGATTGTTGCTTTTATCCAGTGCTTTTCACCAGACAACGTTCTATATGTTAAAATCGGTCGGATGACTGTACATACCGTGAATGATACGTGGTGACAGCCCCCAGTTTTTTTCCGAAAGCCCTTTTACAGGTACAGTGCACTGCTAGGCCCTTCTTTGCTCTTTCCTATACCTAAGTATTTCACTTTCAGACTAGTCCCGTTCAGCTTTGGTAAGGGGAATTCCGAAACTATTGTTTTCCTTGTGACCAAGACAAGTTCGGTTTTAGAAGGATTCAGCCCATGAATTTCACATCATTCCTACTCAAGTACTAAAGTGGGGAATAGAGATGGACGCAGGATATCGGAACTCGCGCGACATACGGCACGAATTTTAAATTGGCCGGCATGTGCGGTATCGGGAAGGTCTTTAAAATTTTGCGGTCGGGACAGGAAAAAAAAAATCATTTCTCGACACTCCCGATAAAACACGCGACTTAAAAAAATTCAGAAAATTTTTCTTAACAGAATAACCAGAAAGATGCCAGATCTTTCAGTAATACTTCTTAACAATATGTATATTTAAGTATATTATTTAAAATTAATTTCAAAGCTATGTGAATTTTATTTAGTGATGTATTTTGAGACCCACGTGACCCGCGGCACCAATCTGAAAAATCTCGGCATGGGCGGGCCCGGGACCTGAAAATTGAATGTCGGGATGGGCGGAATCTGGATTTAATATTTAGTCCCGCGCCCATCTCTAATGGGGAACACCTCCCATGCACGAGATACTGACATATGTAAATACATATAACGAAATCAGTACCACCCTGTCGAGGCAATACGTATCTTGAGATAAAAACTTGCCTTTATGGACACATACATATGTATTTATGTACTAGGGAGGTTTCGAATGTCATATTTTTCATATTCGCGAATGCGAATGTGCGAATGCGAATGTTAGGAATAACATTAAAAAATCAACTAAAGTCCTAGTTTTTATTACTTAAAAAATTTTGTAACTTACTAAAAAATTTAACGAGTGCTCAACCTATACAGTGTTTTAATCTAGCAGCCGTAGTTCAAAAGTGACATTATATTAAAAACAAAAAGAAGTAATTTCGCTGCCTTTTCTCCCATGTGGTCGTATTTTAGTTTAGTTTTCCACCAATCGAGACGATTTTCCCTGAGATGAGCTCGTTTTTATCAATTGACCTTTAAGATTCTACATCCGAGCCTTCGCTTTTGCTGCAGGTATCTAAAATTATTCCTAGGTTGCCTATAAGACTTTTAGCAGTACTTGTTGGAGGCCCATCAATATTGCTTGATATACAACTTAACCGTTTAGCGTCTGAAGCTTAAAGCCGGCTGTTGTCCGCACCCTGGTTAGACAGACTTAGAGCCATTTCAACAATATTAGAGTGGACTCTCTGCCCATGTACACATTCGCAAAAATGATGCGAATCATTCGCATAACGAATGGGAATGCAAATATTCGCGACATCCCTGGCATATACATATGCAACTTGAGGGTTTATGTACGGTATTGACGTGAACCCTCTAGTAGAACAATTTTTGTATGAGTTGAAAAATTCAGGAATGGGTGATTTTAGCACGAGAAATCCAAAAATGATGTCCATTTCGATCTGTGACAGTAACTTTTTCCTACAGGGGAGAAAAACCAAGACCGTCTGGAGACGGGCTCGCCTATTCACTTTGACGTATTTTCAGCTTTCTCTTACACAATGTTGACCTACGAACCGGCAATCCCGTCTGCAGATGGTCAAAAATGCAAACTGGGTTTTTACATATATGTCGGCAAGCCGGTCTGTAGACGGTCTGTGTTCGAAAGCAATTTTCTCCATTTCGAATGGTGACATACTTATAAAACTTATATCAAAAAATTGTGCTTTTAACTACGAAACCCACTGTATCAAAAAATGTTTCAAAAGAAAAAAATTCTTTAATTACGAAATTACTTAATAACAAGAAATAATTAATTTAACCAAATCTTTCACAATCTGTGATTCAACTGCCGGATTGACATAACGGATTAAAATTTACATCGTCGTAAAGGTACGATTTTTTTCTAAAGATCGTGCTTTTCGAATATAGAAAAAAATTATTATAGGTACGTGTTTAGTTAACGACCGTCTGGGGCAGTTCAGCCTACTAGAGGGTTAATAGGGTAAAAAAGTTACATTTATTTCTTTGTTCGCTTTGACTTCTTAAACATTTTGGTCACGTTCGAAAACTCTGCTCCCAATAATTCACACAAATTTAAATTATTTTCGTAAGGGTTTATTTCTAATTTAAAATGTACTACATATCTTACAACTAATATCACATTTATCTTCAGCTTCTTAAGCTTGCCACAAATCCAATAACCCATCACACTATATCAACTGCTTGTCGCATCTGCCGAATGCCGCGATTCTATGTGACGTTGAAGATCTCGCCTTCGCGCCAATGTCTTATTACACAGCGTACACTTGTAGCCCTCCATCGGCACATTGCTCACATTCGATTGCATATGCAGACGCACGTGTTTATTCAGATTGCTAGGATCACCGAATGGACGTAGACAAAATTTACATTTGAGTGGCTTAAAGCCTGTGTGAGTGCGTATATGAATTTTAAGTCCATATTTCCGTGAATAAACCTTGCCACAGTAGATGCAGAGGTGACCCTGCTTAGAAGCGCCCATATTGCTGACGATCGCTTCGATCTGGGCGGCAGCGTTGAGTGGGTTTGTGGCGCCAATGCCAGTGGCAGGTTGCAGTAGGTGGTGCATGTGTGGCAAAACGCTACTCACCGATGAAATTGGCGGTAAAAAAGAGAGGGCGGCACTTGGTGTTACTGCGGTGCTGCTGTGAGCGTTCGGGTTACTGAAGGAAGCTGTGGTAACGGCTGCGCTGAAGGCAATCGAAGGTGAGACAGGTTTAAAGGCGGAAAAGCGGTGTACTTGTTGTTGTTGTTGCTGGTGGTGGTGGTGGTGTAGCTGTTGCTCTTGTTGTTGATGATGCTGTTGCGAATGTGTGGATGTTTGTACAGCTGCGGCTGGCTGTGGTGATGAGGCTGGCGAAATGGATGATGTGCTTGATGGAGCTGCTGGTGGCGTATGCAACAATGGTTGGCTAGTTGTTCGGGTCGCCGTCGCTGCAAGCAGCTCACGTTGTTGCTGTGTGTAGCTGGACGCTTTTAGAGCGTAATGCAAGCGTATCCAGAGTATATCCATAGAGTGACGACCACATGCGAGAGCCAAATGGATTTTTAGCGGATTCGGTGTTTCGAACGACAGCTGACAGAGGTGACAAGTGTAACGTTTATTGCCTGCGGGAATTGAAGCGGAGGAAATCGTGGGTTAGAAAGCTAGTGGTGTGAATTTGTTTGTGAAATATTTTTGTTCAATCGATATATCAATAGATACATACATATATCTATCGTCAAGATGATCGAAAATCATGGTATATGCGCATACAGTCAGCGTCAAAAATATGAGTACCCGACGTTTTGACGATTTCTTTATTTTCTTTATAAAAATTTAGTCCATCCAACAGCAAAAAACAGCAGAATTAATTTTTTCAATTTCATATAGAACTCGGGAAAATTCAAGCAACGGCAAAAAATTTTCCTCAAAATGTTCAATTTTTGAATTCGATTTCTTAGAAAAATTTTGAGTATGCAGTTTTGTAGCTCATTCGAGGCTCTAAAATTTACCGTTGACTTTGAGAACTTGTTTTGTTAAGGGTGTTTAAATTTTCTTCTATATAACGCAGGAACAAAATCTATTTTTATATGGTAGAAAATGCGCAACACCCTCGACAAAAAAAAAATCTCAAAAGCCAAGGGTAATTTAATGGGCTACAAAACTGCATACCCAAAATTATTCTAAGAAATGGAATTGAAAAGTTGAAAATTTAGGTGAACATTTTTTGGTATTTCTTGAATTTTTCCGATTTCTTAATGAAATTGAAAAAATTGATTCTGCTGGTTTTTATAAAAAAAAATAGAAAAATTTGGCATGGAAATTATAAATAAAGAAACGTCATATTTTTTATGCTCACTGTATATGGAAAATCATATCGATTTCAGTTTTTCAATGAACTACGATAACTATATCGATAAATGAATTAAACACTGAATTAATATATCGATAAATATACAGGCATCCATATCTGAAATAGTCATGATTAATATATCAAAAATTACATCGATAAATACAAAATTACCAAAAAAGTATAAAATTAAAACACACGGCTTCATTTATAAGAACATGAAACTCTTTTTTTAGCAACACTTATCGATAAACATTTCGATAAATCAAATCAAAAATGCAAAATATCGGAAAAGTATTAAATTAAAATACGGCCTTAATTGTAAAAAATAGAAAACCATTTTTTTTGTTTCGCAACACTCACCTTGTATATTAAGTGGCGCAAGAAACGGTATAGACATTAGCAGCGCCACCTCCTCGCCAAACCACGCCACTATTTCCTCGTCACGCGGCACATCGCGCACAGTTCGCACATGCACCATACCGCCTGGCTGCAATTCAAATAGCGCATTATAGCTGTGCACATCCTCCGAGAGCTTTATGCGTCTCAACAGTTCGGGACTCATGCGCAGCACACCTTGAGAAAGCGTACAAAATGCCGTAGTAGACTCCGCAGCGGCCATAGTGCTCATGAGTGCATATGTTGGTATCGCTTCGGACAACGTATCTTTGGGTGTAAATTGTGCGAGGAGGACACCGGTGCATGTGGCACGTAGTTTAGAACGCTTGGCCGTCATTGCAGTCGAAGTGCTGCTGGTAGCTTCCATCCGAGTTGAGGGTGGCGGCGAGTGTGGCGTTGTTCTAGTAGTGCTGGGGGCAATACTCGACGATCCTCTGCTGGTGCTGGGTAGCAGGTGCTCTATGCGAAATATCATACTTGCGCTACGTTTAAGTGAGCGTTGTTGTTGTTGTTGGTGGTGGTGGTGCTGCTGCTGCTGTTGAGCGTGCTGCAGTGTTGGCTGTTGTTGTGATTGTGCGGCAATATTGCTGGTATCCAAATGTAGTTTATGTTTATGCGTGTTGTTGTTCGATAGCGCTGGCAACATTTTTCTCCACGAAAAAAATAATAAAATTTTGAAATATCCTCTTTCTCAAAATTTCTTTTAAATTTTCTATGCACTTTTGTGTATTCCCTGCGCGCTCTGATTTGATTCTGTGTTCCAATTGGGAAATGTCCTTGGCTTTTATATCGACGCGTCTGCCTGAATGCTCATTTCGCCTTGCAACCACGTGTCTGCGCCTGGCGGCCCGTCATTTGCGACCCTTCGCGCTTGGCGCACAAACGTCAAAGGCTCGTCTCGCAAATTGCCCTTATCCTGCGCGCCACGGCTATCAAAGTTTTCTGCTTAGAATTTTTGCTGCCATTTGAGCTCTCTCTCACCCTCTCGCGCTCATAAAATCTCTGCCTGTGCGTGCGATTCTGCCACAGCTAGCGCCAACGCATCGCTTTAGTTCCGCAGTTGGTGACAAGTGCAAGAATTCCCAGCATTTGACATACCCAAACATCCGAATTCGACATCTCATCCACATCCATATCCGCAATAACAACATCACAATCCGCAGCAACCAAACAACACCAAATACTGCCTGCCTGCCAGCCTGCGAGTCAATCAGCCAGGCAATCGTTCAACATGGTCCAGCGGTGGTTGTTTGGCAGCAAACAGCAAGTGCAACATCATGTTGTGCCACACGCTAAGCCATATACAGCTACATATACATATATACAGCAAGTGTTGCACGCCTCTACTCGACATTTACCACTCACCCATTTACTATCTGCTCTAAACAATCATTTGTCGCTGCTTAAGTAGATCTATGGCGAGATGTTGTTGTTATTGCTTTGTTAGTGTTAGTGCTGTTGTTATTGTTGCACGCACATTTTGTTTTTTTTTTTTGTTGGTTGAGCCTTTTTGGCTTTTCGCATTTGTTGCCCACCCCGACAAGCCTCTACTACTTATCACTTCGTGAAACGCTTAGTTGGCAGCGTAAAAAGGTTTTTAATTGAAATTAAACGATCGAGTGTCAATGTTATTGCTGTATTGTACTGCTTGCAAATGTTGTGCATGTATGTGCGCATATATGCAAGTTCTTTTTTTTATTGTTTCCAGAATATGTTTTGCTATGCTGTACAAATCGCATCCTTCACATATGGATATGCCTACATACAAACGCCATGCAGCAACCCCTCTCCGTACGCAATCCATCTAATACTTTAATTTTTACATTTGTTTGCGGTTAGGTTTGGGGTGGGTCGTGATTTTCAGGGGCGTTCATAGAAAGGGCCCATAGTTAAGATTGACGAAGGCGCTAGCGGCCTACTAGAGCTGCAAAAGGACTTTTGAGAAACAGTCGCCTATAGTATTTACACCAGAGTCATCAGACCTTTGTAGCCCATTTGAGCCTAGTTTGGTGGAATGCTCTAAGCAAAGGCAACAAAAAGAAAGGACAAAGGCTCGCATGCCTTGTTATAGCGGGGCGGTGACTAGTGCACCTCAGAAGGAGCATAAATGATCGCCTGAAACCGCTGCTAATTTTCTATCATCGTGTGGCTTTGCTCAGTCTTAGATCACTGACTACAATATGCGGGTTTGGGATTTCAATACAAGGATGTCCATACGGTTTCCGTTCGGCAAAAATTGGTCGCAGGTCTATCAGAGATGTAGCAAGAAACCGGTGCCGGTCTCTGCTTGGTGGACCGTAGATGAAACCGACTTTTCGACATCTGGTCTTCTTCTAAATAGCCCCACCCCAGGCGAAAGAGGCACTATCTTTTTCGATTACCAAGAGGCTTGGAGAATAAAATCTAAATATGTATGTATATGTGAATACTTCATAGCCCATTTAAATGACTTATGGGCCAAGTGAGTTGATTTTTAGATCTCAAGACCATTAGGAGCGCGGTTAAATAGGAAAAGCAAGGTGGATCTTTCCGCCACATCGAATCGACTTAAACACCTGGGGCATGCTTCTTTATCAATCTGGTAGAGTTAGCAGAGGTGGAAGTATTGAACCTCCTTCATTAAGGCTAAGGGACGGAATATTAAGTCTCGCAATGGAAGTATGAAACTTCCCAAATAGGCCCTTCTGGTAACTACATATGTTCCAATATACGTATCTACTTAATACTAAGTTACGGTATTCTAAAAACATTCTTCTAACTATTCAGCAGTTAGTTGACAACAATCCTAAGTAGTGGGGAGTGAACTCCGCTTTGTGATGTACGCCTACTCACTATTCCATAGATGGAAGCGCTACCTCACTCTGTTGAACATTTTCTGTTGCAAATCACGCGATAAATTTACCTGGTGACCTGGATATAAAAAAAACACCAACTACATACTCCTTCTACGAGAAGCTACTTCTACCGATCAGCACTTCAAGTACGCATGCTAACTTAATGGCAAAGAAACTTTAGCTTTCCCGATTAATCAGTCGCTCAAAGGTCAAAGGTTTTTCCGAAATTTCTTTCAGACATATTACATCTGTGAATGCCGTTTTGGGAACACAATCACCCGACGTATTGACAAAAATATGTCGCTGACTCCCGGACTAAGAGATTCGTCTGCTTCGGGAGACTCAAACCACAATAGCCGAACTTCGCTCTGGCTACTGTAGCAGATATCTCTAACAAATTGCGGAGAGACACGCCGCGACTCAAGACATCTCTTCACATGCCCACAAAACCCCTCTCCGCTAACGCTTCTGTCCCTCAGAATCTGCACGCTTCCTGGGTCTCCCGTTAGGTGACCTTGACGACAACGATTGATAACGATAATGAACAATGATACTTAATGAAAAGGGCGCAAAAAGTTCCCTCGCCATTTTCTCAACCGCTCCTGTACTGCAAACTTGCCTGAATGTCATTTTATTGAGCGCACGTTCCTATAACACATCTAATTATGTATCACCCTTGTATGTATATGTTGTTGTATGCACATCAAATGCAAAGCGTTGTTGCAACCACTGCAACCGCAATACGCATAAGTGCCAGTATCATAACGCAGCCCGCGCGGCGATCAACGCCGAACGAACATTCAAACACACAACAACAACAAAGGCATTAGAATAATAAAGCGTTTACCTTTCAAATCACTGTATCATCAATGGCTCGTGCCCTTTTGCGTCGTCAACACTTTGCGTACGCTGCTGCTGCTGCTGTGGTTGTAGTTGTTATGTTTTTAAATCTGCAAATCCCGAAAAACATGTGTTTCAGGTCACATCGCACGCGCCACTAGCGCCTTTCGCTTTCATCAACAAAAAAAATGCCTCTGGCTACTTACCTACTTGCCACTTGGCGTGGCTCGCGCTTCTAGGGTTGGTAGCAGCCGAGGCGGCACGGTGCGTGTTGGGTTGTGATTGTTTTGGTGTTTGCTTGTTTTNTGCCTCTGGCTACTTATATACTTGCCACTTGGCGTGGCTCGCGCTTCTAGGGTTGGTAGCGGCCGTGGCGGCACGGTGCGTGTTGGGTTGTGATTGTTTTGGTGTTTGCTTGTTTTATAATATTTTTGTTGGGTAAAAATTATTTAGGCATTACGAGTACATCTGGTTGGGTTTATTTAGGTTTTTAATTAAGTGCTTAAGGGGTTTTTGAAGGTTTGCAGGTGGAAGATTGTGTGCACCACGCATCGTTGGTGGCGCTGGTTGGTGTATTCATTTAGAGGCGGTGATGGAGTTGAATTTGGCTGTTTGCCTTTAACATAAACGCTTGTGTGTGTGTGAATGTGCAACTGGCAGTGTTTTTAGCGAAATGCAGCTGCAAGTTGTAGGTACATGAAAGTGAGTCCGCAAAAAAAATAGGAAGACATTTTTTTTTCCAACGATGTCAATTGCGCCAATATTGGTCGATCTTATAATTAAGGACAGCGTTGAATAACTGGCATTCTTAAATGAACGCGTTAAGCGCCAAAGGAACTGTCGAAACTTATCATGCCCATACATTTTTTGTGAAGCATCCCACAATTTACATGTGTACATATGCACATACTACATACATACACTCAAGGCAAAAAGTATTGGCACAGAGAGTTTTTCCAACTATGTACAACAATATTTATATTAACTTTTCAGCGCTGATTTTTTATAAAAATATGGTTCATACAACAACAAAAACATAAAAATATTATTTCTAAAATATTATTTGTGCAAAACCGAGGAAAATTCTAAATATTTCCATGCAAATTTTCTAAATTTTTTTGAGCATAGCCTATTAATTTTCAGAGATACAAGTTTGAAGTTGCGAAAAAATCGCAGTGATTTTTGAGATTTCTTTTGGTTGAAGGGTTTCGCATTTTTTCCATACAAAGTGTTTTTGATTTTTTTTCTGTATAGAAGAAAATGCGTGATTAATTTGCTTTGAAAATTCCATTTACTAAAATTAAATGTCCTACAAAACTGCTTACTTGAAAAATTCTAAAAAATCTGATTAAAAAGTTAAAAGTTTGCATGAAAGTTTATTGAATTTTCCTAAGTTTTGCACAAAGTATAGAAATTTTGTTTTTATGTTTTTTTTTTGNGGCACCACGCATCGTTGGTGGCGCTGGTTGGTGTATTCATTTATTTATTTATTTATTTATTTATTTTTTACAGTCTGTTAGACTTAT